GTTCCAGATGAAGCTCTTCCAGCTCTTCAGTGGTTAGTTCTTCCCTGTGGTCCTCCACCAACTCTTCCACATCCTCACCACTCACCTCCAGCCCCAGGGTGTTCCCCAATGCCACAATAGAGTCCACAACAGGCAGAGGGTCAGCTGCATCAGGGTCAGGGTCAGGGTCAGCCTCAAACCCTTCAAAATCCCTCTTTTGGATACAATCTGGCCACAACTGTCTCCAAGCAGAGTTCAAAGTCCTGGAAGTCACTCCCTCCCAAGCCTTACCTATAAGGCTTATGGAGCTGTAGATACTGAAGTGATTCCTCCAGAACTCTCTTAGGGTCAACTTAGTGTCTGTGGTCACTTCGAAGCACTTTTCAAACACTGCTTTTGTGTAGAGTTTTTTGAAGTTAAAAATGACCTGCTGGTCCATGGGCTGAATGAAGGAGTGGTGTTAAGAGGCAAGAACTTCACTGTTATAAAACTGAAGTCCCTAGACAAGAAGGCTAATGAGTTTGGAGTATGAGCAGGAGCATTGTCCATTAACAGGAGGCACTTGAGTGGCAAATTATTATCCAGGAGGTATTTTCTCACACTGGGGCCAAACACTATGGACCCACTCTTTGAAAATTTGCCTTGTGACCCATGCCTTATCATTTGCTTTCCAGAAGACACGTAACTTGTTCTTTATGACATTGTTTTTCTTAAACATTCTGAGGTTTTCTGAATGATACACAAGTAAAGGCTTCACTTTAAAATCACCACTAGCATTAGCACAGAACAAAAGAGTTAGCCTGTCTTTCATAGGCTTGTGTCCTGGGAGTGCCTTTTCCTCCTGAGTAATGTATGTCCTCTTTGGCATTTTCTTCCAAAACAGGCCTGTTTTGTCACAACTGAACACATGTTGGGGTTTGAATTTTTCAGTGTCTACGTAAACCTTAAACTCCTGTACAAACTTCTCAGCTGCCCATTTGTCTGAACTGGCTGCCTCACCATGCCTTACAACACTTCTTAAATCTGTCAAACCAGCTTCTGCTGGCCTTAAATTCACTATCAGCACTGGTTCCAGAAGTTTTCTGTACCAGATCGGCATGCAACTTCCTAGCCTTTTCACAAATAATCGTCTCTGAAACACTATCACCTGCCATCTCCTTATCCTTGATCCACACCAGCAACAACTTCTCAACCTGATTGAATGTCTGTGGTCTTTTTTTGGTTAACATATTAACACCTTTTTGCAACATCAGCTTCCTTGAATTGTTCTTTCTTTGCCAGGATAGAAGCGATGGTCGACTTGTTTCCATACATCCTGGCAAGCTCAACAAGTTTCACACCACTCTCATACTTCTGTATTATTTCCTTCATCACATCTATGGTGTTTCTCCCTTTCTTCACCACAGGGGTACCACTAGCAAGTTTCTTTGGGACCATGGTAGCTTATCTCACAGTCCCACAAGCACTAAACACAATGAAATAATCGTAAAATGTTTGAATGAGAACACAGGTTAGTGTTCACTCAAGCATCAACAAAGCCAGACTGGCTCAAGGCGCCTACGCGAGGATGTGGATAGAGCGGGCTGGCAGACAGGTCCGGTATGAAAATAGGGGCGAGTTTGATAATAGGGACAAGGTTGGTTCAAAAAAAGCTGTCGATTTTCGAAGAGTTCGATAGCGATACAAATTTAATCCATTCCATGACCTTGTTCGTATCCTGATTTGCTCATATGCCGAGACAATTTTCCTCATTTAAATTAATTGAAATGCAATTAATCCGTTCCAGCCTCTCAGGAGGCACGACAAAATAATGCTAATATCAACTCTATGGCATAGTTATCTATCACAATTCATCTAATATGACATAATAAACAATATTAATAACACAGAAACATGATATATACTCTAGAATGAATAAAATAGGCCATAATATGGCAAGTGATGGCAATGCCAGCAGCGGCAGAAAGCATCTGCCGTTTACTCTCCCACTCTAGTATCTTCCCAGTCCATAATGCCACACCTAGCTTGTGTTTATCTATGATTAGTGGTGAGGTTACATATGTAACGACAGGTGTGGTCACGACAGATGTATATATAGGTGAAGGCGTTATCACTGTGGCCACAGTGGTGGTGATGATGGCGGCGGCGGCCACAGTGGTGGTGGTGGCCAGATGCCTCACTCTATGCTGCTGCCTTCGTTTCTCTAGCTTTTTTCATAGTTTCTAATTGCTTCCTGAGCTTCTTGCTGATTGTATGTGAATACTGTCTATTTGGGCGAGGCACTGTGTAAGAAATTTGTACAAGACAAAATTACGCATCCCAAGGGTCACTCAGAGCAGCACACCTCTTCCTTTTGACCCTTGATTGGCACTTAGATAGCCATGGTCTAGTAGTACCTACAGCCACCCAGAGGGTTACCAATTTGTATTTTGAAGCATTTGGCACAAAAATATGAAAAAAATTACAAAAAATGTCTAAAAATGACAACATATTATTATTAGTATGTACATATTATAATAATTATTATTATTAATACATACATACTATAATTATTATCATTATTAATGTAGAGAACTGGAGCACAGATCCAATTCCCTAGATCAAGAGCCCATCACCACATACATACTACTAATAATAATATTATAATAATAATAATAAAATATAATAATAATAATAATAATAATAATAATAATAATAATAACAGCAGTAAGGAGAAACTTCAAAAGACTGCCAGTAGTTGGTGCCACCATCAGCAAAACATTGGTAACCACTACTAGTACACTTTTCACCTGTCTAGACTTAGTAGTCTATTAGTATTACTATTTTTATTTTATGTGAATGACATGCCAATTAGTGTCAAGTGTAAGCTTCTGTTGTATTTAGATGACAGTGCTCTGCTAGTCTCAGGTCAAGACCCACAAGCTAATGTACTATCACTGTAACTAGAGTCATGCAGGAAATGGTTAGTAAAGTAAGATATGTTAGGATTTTTAACCCAGAGGGTTAGTCACCCAGGACAACCCAGGAAAGTCAGCGCGTCATCGAGGACTGTCTGCCTGATTTTCATTGGGGTCCTTTGATCTTGACCCTCAGGATGCAACCCACAACAATCAACTAACACCCGAGTACCTACTTACAGCTAGGTGAACAGGGATAGCAGGTGTATGGAAACGCCCAACGTTTCCACCCAGCCAAGAACTGAACCATGGACACTCAACGTGTGAGGCGAGAGCATTGCCTGTGAATTTTGTCAATGTTGCGAACCAGCATTATTATGGTACTAGAAGTAAACATAATTCTGTAATACGTACAGTAGTTATTACACATGAATAAGGAGCAGAATGGATTGCTTGAACATGTCAAGGCCAGTCCCAGTATGAACCAATTTGGGAAAGAGAGCTGAGAGGTTGCTAATGAGTGAACTTACAGAAAGGAAGGTGATTTCATGTATATTTGACATGATTTTTCTCAATTTAATGTTGATGTAAACTGTTCAGTTTATTTTATTCCTATTGTATCTCTCTACTGTAACTGATTTTCACTCATTTAAGTTACTTAGTTACAATTTTTATGGTTATAAATCAATGACTGATTAAGTGTCTAATGGCTCGGCACCTAATTTGATATTACAAGGTATTACAAGGACCCCAATGGAAATAAATCACTTGGGATTTTTTGAGGGGGAGGGGGTCATCCTATATAGTTGACACACTCGTCTATCTGAAGGCTTGTTCCGGGGGTCAACGCCCCCGCGGCCCAGTCCTTGAAGACAACTGAACCCCCTACATCTTGTGTAACTGTACTTATGAGTAATTGTATCTAAAATAAACTTACCTATTTTAACTTATTTCTTCTTTGTTGGGTTTATTTGGGGCCACTGACAGAATAAGTCGTATCGAGCCCAACTTAATAACAATAAGAAGTTCATTTTAGCATGATACATCAATCAAATCAATCAATCAAAGTTTATTCTCTATAAGGATTACAATGCGGGGTTTACAGATTTTGGTTATTGTGTGGTTTACATGTAATAAAATACTAATTACAGAGGGTGACACTAGAACACCTAGCATGGTGGCTAGATATTTCGGGCAAACTTAGATTAATTCTTAACCCTAAATTTTTACAAATTGTGGAGTAAGTTGGATAAATATTAAGTGACTAAATACTAGTTTGTGAGTTTAGCAATGTTTGTACAAAGGAGTGTAACAATTTGGTGAACATGCCAAAAGCCCCTTCATATGCAGAAAATATAAAGGGGAAGATTTGTTGCCCAAGGCTGGGCGATGAAAGAAAAGGAACAAAGTACCTTTGTAAATAGAGACAGAAACATGGAGTTTCCAATTAGATTGGGTGGACGACCTTGTTGAGCCCCAGCAGAGTGGGACGCCCACACACCCCACCTGAGTACAGTAACCGGCTTCCCACCAAAGCCCATTAAAGAATTATCCGCAATGTGGAAAATATGGAACTGGCTAAAAGTAAGTCGATGTACAGTGCCCCTCCTGTAGAGTGCCTGGCGGGCAAAATAGATGGGGACAAGCGTCCCAGAGAAACGGGGGAAATTTATCACCAATATTCAGGCGAGAGAGAGACGTCCACACCCAACGAAGGCTGGCGCAGAAGTCTACCTATTTAACTGACTCACGTAGTGGCTAACGCGACCGCGGGTTCAAACCCCTTCAGTGGCATGTTTTTTTTCTACCTATTTAACTAACCCATTTAAACCTATTTAACTAATTAAAGGACCCCAATGGAAATAAGTCACTCAGTCTGACTTTTTTGGGTTATCCCAGGTTCTCTACACATATGCTGCTATGTATGATAATTCTATGTAACTGTATTTGTGTGAGAATTTGTGTGGACTGCCTCCAAGTGAGTCGCCTACCCTGGCAAACTCTGTTGACACCGAGCTCTGAGGTGGGTACCTCAGCCTCACAAGTGGCTTATACGACAGATTTTCACAAATGATTGATGTTACAAGAAACTCGCCTGCATGCACGTATAAAGGACTAACTTACTTGGTGTTGCAGCATATATCCTGATCTTCAACTTCCCAAAGCTTAGCCTTAGCCCCTTTGGACTTCCCCTCAGAAACCACGTGCAACCGGGAGCCTTAATTCCTGCAATATTCAATCGTTATTAGTATCCTGCCTGCACCTCAGAAATTCCTATATCCAAGAGGGTATGTATCCCCTAGTACAACTATGCAGACACGGACACTAGCTTCCAGACTGCCAAGAGACACTGGTACTTACTGGGCATGCACTGCCTGTTGCACACCGGGCCCACAGATCAAACTCACTCACAATTCTCCCCAGACACTGGCCAGAAATCTACGAGATAAAGTGGAGGTCTTGTCTTACTGTATGGGCCTGACGGAGGTCATCTACGGTACATCAAGGTGCCTCTACCAGATTTCCCTAGGTCTCAAATGTGAAGACACGTGGGGGGTGCCGTCTGCTGATCACGGCACGTCTTGTCCAGTTGGTGTCTGTCTTAAGAAGAACGAGCTGGTCTCTCTTCCAGACCCTTGTCTCTTCGTTCAAACTAGGGCTGCCAGTTCTCCCTAGCTAACTTATCCTAGTGTTTGCCTACATTATCGGCCTATTACTACCTATGTTAAGGTCTTAGGTCTACATTATTATTATCTACAGTTGCCTCAATGATTCTAATATTAGTGTACTACCAGTAAAACGACTTACTCCTTCCCTGAAGGGTAAATCTATAAATTAAATAAGCTTACCAACCACGCCACCCCCGGGGAGAGAAATGTGTTTATGTTTGGGGAGAACGCTTTTTGTTTGGGTGAGTTTAAGGGCCACCCAGCTCAGCTGTTCCATTACGGCCATGCCGGATCTGTCCTGTGGAACTTTAGGGACCAAATAAATTTCCACATCCTCCCGCCGGCGAAGGTAGGCGCTAAGTCTAAATCAAGTTCATCTTCCGCGAGCCCCCATGGCGGACCCTGGACACGAGTGCCATCCGGCCACTCTCGTCGAGCAGACTCCGGTCTAACTTCAACCGTCCAGTTTCCCCTGCGTGGACCTCTGGGGGTGTAAACTTGTTGGTTCCGGTGGTCTTAGCACCCTTTCCTTTAACTTTAACGTCTTTCGTATGTCTAGCCTTGACTGAGTGGCTCCGTACTTTCCCACCCAGTGGCCCACATGCCTTGGTAGCCTTTCCTCCCACTGTTACGAGGTTCCCTAGATTTAATGGCAATCTATCTCCCTCTTTATGTACCCTGTAAAAGTGTTTTCCCAAGGTGGCTGAGTGTTCGTCACTACCTACCTGGTTCAGCTTCCCTGGCGGTTCATAGTGTATACTGGTATTCATTATCACTACTCCCCCAGCTATCATGGGGACAGCTTCTCCTCTATCTGGCGTGGCAGGGAATTCAGGTGGAATCCTTCCGCCTATGATGTATCCTACTGGGGATCTGTATAAACCAATTCCTTCCTTAAACGTTCGTCGTGTAGACAGGAAATCATCTATATGATTGGCTCCCACCAGGATACCTACATTTCTGACTGTGTCAGTGGTAATTCCCTGGTCTGCCAGCTTCACGTCAAGGTCTTTCAATCGCTTAGCTGCTGCAGCAAGACCTCTCGCTGTAATTGCCCTGGGTAATGTCTCTACCACCGAGGCTGTAATGTCTCTGCGATGTCCACCTAATTTGACTGTGACATCCACCACATCATAAGATTTGGGTGGGACCTGACTTATAGCCCCTCCCAACATCATACTAACTTTCTTTGTGGCCTTCAACTTTAATTTAGCCACCAACTTCTTTGTTATCAAGGATACTTGTGCTCCTGGGTCAAAGAATAATCGGGTTGTTTCGGACCTGTGCCCATTCACAACCTTTGCCATGACTGTAGGTAGGGCAGCACCTCCGTGATTCTCACTCGGATTAGAGACTTCACTCCCACTAATCACGCTGGCTACCATTTCAGGCTCGGACTCACTTTCTATCTCTACCTGAGAGATATCCCTGCTAGCCTGGGGTTCCCTTAAATTATTGGGACATAGTGCAGTATGGTGCTTACCTTTGCAACAGACTCGACACTCACTGAGCTGGGTGCCACAGTCTCTCGCAAAGTGTTCCCCACAACACTTGAAGCAGAGTCTCAACTCCCTTAGTCTCTGTTGCCTACTGCTCAGTGTTGTATACTCCGAGCAACTCGTGCTAGCGTGTTCGTCTTCGCAGAACACACATATCCTGGCATGAGTGCCTCTAAGGTTCTGCTTAGAGGTTCTTACCTTAGACACTTCTTTACCATAGTACACTCCAACGTTAGTCGTACGAGCTTTAGACTGATCTCTCGAGATCTTTGAGTGACTTTCTGTGTTTTTATGTGGCGATGGTGGTGACTCTTCTCTCACACCTATACTCAAATGAGAAACGAGATCTCCCAACCCCTCAACGATTTGTTGTATCGTGAACCTATTCGTCTGATATTTTAAGTGCAACTCATGCACTGTAGTGCCAGCCAGTTTCCTCTGAATCACCTGACTGATGAACCATTCCGAAAACCCCAATCATGTAAATCTTTTAGACTATTCGTCAAACTCATAACTTCGATTCGGAACTTCTCTAGGCTCTGACGGTCATGGCGACAAGCCTTTAGATCCAACAACCGATAAAGTATAGCTACCTTTATCTCCTCAGTGTTGCCAAACGTGTCCTTTAATTGGTCTTTGGCATGTTGGTAATTGGTGTCGGTGGTTTGGTAATGCCGGACCAAGTCCAAGGCTTTACCCTTGAGCTGTGAATGTAAATATTGTAATTTGACGGCATCTGACAAATTGTCTCTGTCATCTATCTGGGCTTTAAACTGATCCCAGAAAGCAATGTACTCTGTTAAGGTTCCGTCGAACGTTGGTAAATTCAACTGGGGCAATCTGGGCAACACATTAACAGGTGTGCTGTTGTTCGTGTTCCTTGAAACATTTGCTGCCCCTGCTGTACAGGCCTTCAAAGTCTTTATTAACTGCCTGCAGAGTCTCATCTCTGCTTTACACTCTGTCCTTCGTTCGTCATAGTCCGTCCGTGCTACTTCGACTGTATATTCAGACTCACCTGTAGTATAGGCCTCTGTCTCATAAAGGATAAATGATCTCTCAAAGGCCTCCAGTCTTTGCTCCAAAGGTTTCAGGCAACTCTCTAGTTCCTCCCAGTCTACGTCTTGATCTTGCCTGACCGTACGACACTCCTCACATGCTTTGCTCAGGCGCCCCTTATAGGCTCCCATAGACCACTTTAATTGACTTAGAGCTGGGACAGCTGGTACTACATCTTCACCTACCATAGTTGCGGTTTAGTTAAGATCACGGTACTAATTTGTACTTCAATTAGCCCACCCCACAGCACGAACGGTATTAGGTGAGAATGAACGAGTCTCAAGGCTTCTCAACAAGCTTAACAGTTCTCTTTATTATATTGACTCTACTCTGAATCAAAATGTACACTGTTAGCTCTCAAATCCCAATCGAAATGTGTATCAATGTGAAAACTTAACCTAGCAATTTCCTGTACAATGTCAGCAAATAATTACAGGACTTAACCTAGTCTCAGGTACAATTCACAAATCCCACATTAAAATGAATCAAAGACAATGAAGATCACACAATAAAAAGTGCAGTATACAAATTAAAATCACTTGGTTAACACAAATAAATTCAACAAATCAACTTGTGAAACAGTAAATAAAAAATGTGTGTAAACAGCTTGACCTAGCTTACTCAGTCTAGCGTGGATGGTTGGATGAGGTAAATCCTAACCTAGCTAGTGTGCTATAGCTTAAACCGGGCTTTATAACTCCCTGTAAATAATAACTAGGTTAAATCTGTCCTAGCTACTATAACTGTTGTAAATATTGCACAAGCCTAGCCTAACTGTGGCTACCTTGCAAATCCACTGTAAGTAACTAACACACAAGTCTCCTACTCTGGATTACTTGTAATCACTGTAAATAATTAAATTCACAAGCTTCTCTAGTCTACCTGGCCTGCCTGTAAATTACTGCAAATAACAACTTCTGTGTATAGTCAGCTTGGCCTAGCCTCTGTGTAACTTTGGGCCTATGTGTGCTAGCAAACTTAACCTAACTCTGTTAAACTGGTTCCTAACTGTGGCCTAGCTATGATAGCTTAACCTAGCTATTCCACATCACGGTTTTCGAAGTACCACTTTTGTGAAAATTTGTGTGGACTGCCTCCAAGTGAGTCGCCTACCCTGGCAAACTCTGTTGACACCGAGCTCTGAGGTGGGTACCTCAGCCTCACAAGTGGCTTATACGACAGATTTTCACAAATGATTGATGTTACAAGAAACTCTCCTGCATGCACATATAAAGGACTAACTTACTTGGTGTTGCAGCATATATCCTGATCTTCAACTTCCCTAAGCTTAGCCTTAGCCCCTTTGGACTTCCCCTCAGAAACCACGTGCAACTGGGAGCCTTAATTCTTGCAATATTCAATCGTTATTAGTGACCTGCCTGCACCTCAGAAATTCAAATATCCAAGAGGGTATGTATCCCCTAGTACAACTATGCAGACACGGACACTAGCTTCCAGACTGCCAAGAGACACTGGTACTTACTGGGCATGCTCTGCCTGTTGCACACCAGGCCCACAGATCAAACTCACTCACAATTCTCCCCAGACACTGGCCAGAAATCTACGAGATAAAATGGAGGTCTTGTCTTACTGTATGGGCCTGACAGAGGTCATCTATGGTACATCAAGGTGCCTCTACCAGATTTCCCTAGGTCTCAAATGTGAAGACACGTGGGGGGTGCCGTCTGCTGATCACGGCACGTCTTGTCCAGTTGGTGTCTGTCTTAAGAAGAACAAGCTGGTCTCTCTTCCAGACCCTCGTCTCTTCGTTCAAACTAGGGCTGCCAGTTCTCCCTAGCTAACTTATCCTAGTGTTTGCCTACATTATTGGCCTATTACTACCTATGTTAAGGTCTTAGATCTACATTATTATTATCTACAGTTGCCTCAATGATCCTAATATTAGTGTACTACCAGTAAAACTACCTACTCCTTCCCTGAAGGGTAAATCTATAAATCAAATAAGCTTACCAACCACGCCACCCCTGGGGAGAGAAATGTGTTTATGTTTGGGGAGAATGCTTTTTGTTTGGGCGAGTTTAAGGGCCACCCAGCTCAGCTGTTCCATTACGGCCATGCCGGATCTGTCCTGTGGAACTTTAGGGATCAAATAAATTTCCACAATTTGTGTATACCTGAATAAACTTACTTACTTATTTACTTACTTACTTACTCTACACATATGCTGCTATGTATGATAATCTATATAACTGTATTTGTGTATTCCTGAATAAACCTACTTGTTAAGTTCATCAGGGACACTGACAGGTTACACTGTATCGAGCCTGACTTCCCGAGTTACGAGGAAGTAAATAAGTATATTCAGGTACATTATTATTATTATTATAATCAAGGGGGAAGCGCTAAACCCAGAGGGTTATACAGTGCCTGGGGGGGATTTGGAAGACATTCAGGCTGTGAAAATTTGTGTGGACTGCCTCCAAGTGAGTCGCTTACCCTGGCAAACTCTGTTGACACCGAGCTCTGAGGTGGGTACCTCAGCCTCACAAGTGGCTTATAGGACAGATTTTCACAAATGATTGATGTTGCAGAAAACTCGCCTGCATGCACGTATAAAGGACTAACTTACTTGGTGTTGCAGCATATATCCTGATCTTCAACCTCCCTAAGCTTATCCTTAGCCCCTTTGGACTTCCCCTCAGAAACCACATGCAACCGGGGGGGCCTTAAAATTTCCCGCAATATTCAAATCGTTATTAGTGTCCTGCCTGCACCTCAGAAATTCCTGTATCCAAGAGGGTATGTATCCCCTAGTATAACTATGCAGACACTGACACTAGCTTCCAGACTGCCTTGAGACACTGGTACTTACTGGGCATGCACTGTCTGTTGCACACCAGGCCCACAGATCAAACTCACTCACAATTCTCCCCCAGACACTGGCCAGAAATCTACGAGATAAATGGGGGTCTTGTTTTACTGTATGGGCCTGACGGAGGTCATCTACGGTACATCGAGGTGCCTCTACCAGATTTCCCTAGGTCTCAAATGTGAAGACACGTGGGGGGCGCCGTCTGCTGATCACGGCACATCTTGTCCAGTTGGTGTCTGTCTTAAGAAGAACGAGCTGGTCTCTCTTCCAGACCCTCGTCTCATCGTTCAAACTAGGGCTGCCTTCCCCTAGCTAACTTATCCTAGTGTTTGCCTACTTTAATTGGCCTATTACTACTATGTTAAGGTCTTAGGTCTACATTATTATTATCTACAGTTCCCTTTAAAGTAAACCTAATATTAATATACTAACAGTAAAACTACCTACTCCTTCCCTGAAGGGTAAATCTATAAATTAAATAAGCTTACCAACAATCCACGCCAACTAGAGAATGCTTTGTTTTGGGTGGGGTATAAGGGCCACCCAGCTCAGCCATTCCATTACGGCCATGCCGGACATGTCCTGTGGAACTTTAGGGACCAAATAAGTTTCCACATCCTCCCGCCGGCGAAGGTAGGCGCTACTTCTAGATCAAGTCTGCCTCCCGAAGGCCCTCCCAGTGGGCCCTGGACTTGAGTGCCGTTCGACGGGTCATCCGGCCGCTCAGCTCGGTCAGCCTCTGGTCTAATTTCTCATGTCCCAGTCCCACCGTGTGGACCTCAAGAGGTAAAAGCCTGTTGATGGGTCTTATAGTCTCGACACCATTCATTCTCACCTTCACCATTCTCAACCGCCCAGCCTTGTCTGGGTTGGTCGACACTACCAGACCAAGAGGCCAATATGCCCTGGGCGCCTCGGATTCTACTAGCACCAGGTCCCCTTCACTTAGCATCATCTTATTTGCCTCGGGGTCGGCACCATATAAATGTTCCCGCAGGGTTGTCAAGTAATCCCTGTGCCACACCTGGTTCCATTTGTCCAGGATGTTCACCAGTCTGTTGTGACTCCTGTGCAGTTCTTCATTGATGGGGGGACCATCTGGCCCATAATAATCCAGCCCCTTTGGAAGACTGATCAAAATTGTGGGGAAGGGCTCAATCCTCCTTCCAAACAGCATGTGATTGGGGGTGAGAGCTTCCTGCTCTTCAATCCCATTTTGTACGTAGGTCAGAGGCCTGTTTTTGACTCTTGCCTCTATCTCAACTAACACTGTCCCTCATTTTCATCAAAGCTAAACTCTCCTGCCGTGCAAGACCTTCCGAATGCACCTTTTGACTGTGCCCACCATGCGTTCATAGAATCCCCCTTGCCAAGGCGCCCGGGGAGCATGAACCTCCACTCGCACTCTATTCTCTTCAGGTGTTCTCGTACTTCTCCATTGTCCCTAAGAATTCCTGAAAACTTTATCGGCCACCCTAAAGCTTGTGCCATTGTCCGAGATAATCATCACCGGGCATGAGATTCTGGTTTGTAAACCTCCTGAACAACTTCACAAAGTCTCTGTTGACATATCTTCTGCCAACCCCAAATGCACAGCTCGAGTAGTGGCACAAGTAAACAGGCAGACATATACTTTCTGATGGGCCCACCCTATCGTCTCCTGGGTTCTTCAGTGTGATAGCCCCAGTATAAGTCTATTCCCACAGTCCTAAAAGGGGCCTGTCACTATGTACCCCCGCTCCTGAGGAAAGGGGTGGTGGACCTGGGTATGGTAGGGTCCTACCATCGTACCGCCGGCAGACCGTGCAACTCTTTAGCACCCTATTTGAGGGCAGCTTGACCCTTCAGTAACCCAGTAATTCTGACGTAGGCAGGTAAAGGGTATCTCCAAACCCCCATGTAAGGTCCTCTGATGGGCATCTTGTATCAATAGCTCTGACGCCCATCCCTCCTTTTTCCCCGCAGCACGGGATGTTTGGCCCCATAGCTGAGCTCAGAGTTTTTTTATTCATCCCCTGCATCTTATTAGCCCCTCATGATCTAGAACAATCCCAAAGAGTGAAAACCCTTTACTGTTCCCTGAGTCGTCGTTGGACACACGTCCCCATTTCCATAAACTGCTGCCTGGTCGCCAGTACTTCCAGCACTCCTGGAAACCTCTCCCCTTTGGTACTGCCTTATCCAATATTCTCTGGGACCCACGAGAGATAACTGTCGACCTTGGCTTACCTTGTCATGCAGCTTCCTCACAAATCGAAATACCATTTCCGTGACTCCTATAAGTTTCCTCCAAGAGGAGTAGCACCTGGGGTCAAATAGTTCAGTGTCGGGTTCCCCTGTAAAGTGTACTATGCTGCTGGTTGTTTTCCCCGAATTTCTGCCCCGGGCCCGCAATCCCTTGCCCGGGAAACCCGTCTGGGCCTTTGAAAACCCAAAACTCGCTTTTACTCAGCTTTTGTGTGTCCACCCCTCGGCTTATCAGGTCGGCTGGGTTTTGATCTGTAGGCACGTACAGAATTGTTGACGTTGACTGTAGTTCCCGTATCTCCTTTACCCAATTCCTGACATAGGGGAGCTTAGACCTGTCGTTCTGGACCCACTGTAAGGCCACCTCCGAGTCTGTCCAATACATA